AAACTTGAATGGATTTACTTAAACAAACAAGATTTTATTTTAGCTGCGCGTAGATTACCTAAATGCACTACCGGGCCACCGTCGGTTTTCTTCTTCTTCCCCACTTCCAGTCGCATACCAATGCAGAGCAACTACAGCGCCCCTAGAGGAATCGGAGGAGTGAATCCAACAAGTAGTGCGTCTCATCGGCCCATCTGATCGGCCTTTCATGGAGACCGCCGATCAAACTATTTAAAGCCTTTATCGGCCGATAACGATCGGTGACCGATCAATCGGAGCACCCTTAATTTTAATTTTATAAAAAGCTTTATTTTTATATATATATATAAAAACTGCTCTCTCATCCATACCTCATACCCTTGGACGAGGTGGATGGTTTGGTCTTCAATCAGCCCAAAGATCTAATGTCACCCATCTGTTCATGGAGCTTCACTGGTTACCCCTGGCTGCCCAAATCAAATTCAAGTCCCTGATGCTAGTCTACAAAGTGCTTAAGGGTACGTTTCGTGCCTCTTGAGAACCTATGGTCATATTGATAACTGTAACACTGTGTCTATTTTGTACTGTAAGTCGATTTGGATAAAAGCATCTTCTAAATGCACAAACATAAGTTTATGTAAGTGCATGTGTTTGTGTATGTGTGGATATATGCAAGGGAGAGAAAACATTTTATTTTGTATTTTCTGCAGCTTCACCTTATTATTGCATTAGTCGCTGGCACTGATTTTATTTGTGGCAAAAAACATTTCACACAATGCCATTTCTAATGTCTTGTTTATGCATAGCTCTTAATAGATTTAGAAGAATGGAGACAATGGCCAGAAAAGCGTGATGCATTTTACAAAGTGATAATTAACACAGTGTTTAGCTGAGTTGATTTTCAGATTAGTTCTGTAATTCTCTGCTTGCATCTCACCCTGCTATCATCATGCTGTTTGTTTGAAAAAAAAAAGTATAGAATTAAATAATGTCAAATTTATGAAATTGTTGTATTACAGTAGTGCTGGGAAAGCCTTAATTAGATTGAAGCAAATCATATCTTTTTTGTCTCTCTTTCTTCTTACTGTCCGCGGTTATGACTCAAAACTTAACTGCAGCTCAGTAAAAGTATCTCTTAAATAAAGGAAGCTTCGCTAGAATAAAGAGTTTTTCAATGCAATTATTTTTCACAAATCCTTGAACAGCTCTGTATTCTCAGAATCGGCCTTGTCAGTTGAAGAACAGCTTAAAAAAACTTCACCACATAAGAGCACTTTCAGAGGTGTCCTGTAATTTTTTAATTTTTAATTTTTTTTTTGCAGCGAACCATGCTCTCTTATGTCTAGCCCCCAGTGCAGTTGGACTCAGAGCTGAGCTGTGTGGCAGACGTCTGTCATTTCTTAAGCAACGTGTTTGGCCTTAAGCCAACAAGCTGGCAGCTGCCTTTGTGTGTCGTGACCACTTGAGGCTGGAGATTTTACCAGGAGATGCGTCTACGCACAAACAATTGGGTGCATATTTGCACACGTAGAGGTGCACTGTGAAGTGGACATGCACACTGCACACACAGACAAATTGCAAGCAAATTTGTATAATTATGCTCCTGACACTGCCTCTCAGTTTGCCCTCTCAAACTGGCTCTCAGAATACTTAATCAGTTAGGTTGAACGTGCAAATGCGTGCGTGTGCAGAAACACAAAATTAGGGAACAGATATTCACATGCTGTATGTATGCAGAGAACATGAATGCATATCACTGCAGGGAATCATGTTGTACACAAAAAGGCAAGCTTTTACAAGCTCATAAATAAGAAATAAACAGTCGCTGAGAGCACACAGTTTGTATTTTATAGAATAATATTTCTCAGAAACATTACACATGGCAGCAATAATGTGCAAAAAATTGCTGCATCTGTTAAAGGGCCACTTAGTAACAGACACAAGTACTTGCTCCTGAGATGCGAGGGTGCTGCAACCTTCATGAAATCTCATGCTCCTTTTAGCAAGAATCCTTCTAATTTGTTGCAATCAACAGATCTGCTGTTAAATCTTAGATTTAATGAGCTTATATATTGGAAAAGTAGTGCTTTACCCATCACCTGCATCCACTGACACCGGTGTTAAAAAGTCAAATTTTCTTTTTTTACAACTTAAAAACAGTAGCTTGAAAATAATGTAACAGTTTAAATTGCTTTAGAAAGGCCTGTTGCTGTAAATTAGTGGGGGGAAACTAGCTAATTCACTGGTAGATGATGATATACAGTTCAGATGTTAATCTTCTTGACAGCTTTATGAGGACTGTGGATTGCTTTAGTTTTGAATGTTGTTTTGCATGCCCCTTCGGGACTATTGTTCTGAATTACCCTAAAGCCACCATGCAACAAAAATGGCATATGTGCATCCCTAATGCCTTTAAATGCATATTGAGCTGGTACATATGATTATATTGGAAACACTACGCTGTCATCTAATGATTGAAGTTAAAACTAAATAAACTTTGTTTTTATTTGATGTTATTTAATTTAATGTTTTAAATATTTTAAACTTAGTGAAGTTAGCCATCCCAAATGGTGGATAACATACATCTGAATTCATACATAGCTTATATAAACAATGATCCCACATTGCCTCCCTGTGTAACAATAGATATCTCTAACTTTTATCTCTTGTGTGCTATGTCAAAAATATCTTCATAATATTTTAAATGTGTTTGCTTTTAATGAAAATCATACTAGTTGTTGTTATATAATATTATTGGAAATTACAATTAATAATTTACTATTCATATAAAAAATCTTCCTCCAAATAGAAGTACACTAGATAATTGTAAGGGCTACTAGCCGGTAATCAACCTATATTATTAATTGACTATAACTATTGCAATTTAAGGATACATTTTGCTGGTTCAACCAGATGTGGTGCTAGAGTTTGCAAGCAAGTATTCTGTGTAATAATACTTAAATAGAATGCACAAACGACTGCTGTTTTTTTTTTACTACATGCTGCACAACTACTAAGAGAAGAAAATAACTAAAAGGAATCAGCAATATCATCACAAAGTACATTTTAGTTAATCAAAGCAGCTACAGAATAAAATGAAAAAAAACTTTGGGTAGATTTGGAATGTAGAAGATAAAACAGCAAGACACAAACATCTAGCCTCAGGATTCAAACACTTCAAGACATTGAACCACATATCACACGTAGTCACAGCAGGGGTAGATTGCTGCGAAGGAGGCTAGCACATGTGCTAGGTGGTAAGCTAAAAGCATGTGGCCACAGAAAGTAAAAATGGCGAATAGCCTGTACTTAGTTAGGCCTGTACTTGGAAGTCAGAGGACTTGACCACAGCACTTTACAATACATTCAGTCATTCATAAACACACTAACACACTGATGGTGGCAAGGTACATTGTAGCCACAGCTGCCCAGGGGCTCACTGATAATCTGGCCTGATAATCTTGGCCCTCTGACCACCATGATTAGGCAATGTGGGTGAAGTGTCTTGCCCAAGAACACAACAATACTGGGAGCCTGGTACTTGAACTGACAACCTTTCGGTTGCAGGGCAAATCCTTCAGCAAACACCACTGTCACCACTGCAACAAGCATAAATGGCAGGGCTTTCACTGCCCATTTGTTAGCAGTGATATAATGTCAAAATTACAAGGCATGCTGAAATGCATGCTGGACGCTGTAGTTACAATCTGTTTGTAGTCAGTTCCATCCAGTACACTTAATAAAACTATAGTTTTCCTCGAGGCTCTATTGAAACAAAGACTTTTAACCAACCTGGTTTAGATTGCTTTCATTTAACATAAGACAGCTTATATAAAAGTTACATTTTATCTTAAGGCATGTAATGAGCTAAACAACTCTTAGTTTACCCAAAATGATGACATTGAGTCACGTTAATTCCAAAACGTTGCACTGATATAGCAAGCTTTAGATCCAGTTTAGCTGCATTTATTTCAGTTATATTACATTAAAGTCAGATTATCTTTATTTTTGTGCCAGTTAATGACAATTTACCTTCAATATCTCACAAATGTTAGTGTATAGAGCATGAATGATGTAAAATAGCTGTCACCCCCCAAAACAACTCATCACAAAGCCATTAAACCACTGGCAACAAAGCAGAGTACAGTATAGTTTTTAGTGTTGCAATGTTTCAGGAGAAAATTGGGAGCAGGTGTTTAATTTGTTATTATCGCCCTCACTCTCTTTTACTGGCCAATAAAAGTAGTGCCTCAAATAGTAATAGTACCTCAGAGCAAAGAAACTCTGATCCGAAAAATAATTTTAGAACTGTTACTGTAGCAAGTCATACTGATATTGATCTGATGTTAAATTTAAATGGTACTCATAATCATTAGCAGCAAATCCTTTAATATTACTGAAGGAATGTTTGCATTCTAGATCAGTAAAGCAAGCTTATTTTTATTTGCCACACAAATGAGTACTGTAGGTATACTAAGGAGCAAGCTTACAGATGTTTTCTTGAGCCATGACGCCTACAGCTGGTTCTCAAACCACTGTGCAGAATCAGACGGATCACTGGAAGTGCTGGCTGACCTTGAAATATTAGCATGCTGGATTATCAAGGTTGCCCATTATTATTCCACAGGAGGATGGATGAAAGAACACAATGATGAAAAAGGGATGAGAAGATGAATGAACAGCCACGGTTAAGGAGGAAAGGGTTTATAACCTCTCATTAAACCTAAGTCTGATGGATGGATGAAAGGAGGAGATAGTGAGGGATAATGCAGACAGGAGAATTACACTTGACTTTTGGCCTCATGCGTCCTTTGGATGTAGAGCCTAAATGGCTGACTAAAGCCCTCTTTGGCTTGCCACTCTAATCTTGACTGCTCTGACCTGTCGGAGTGATAAATAATCCTCTCAAAGTTATGCATAATTTGTCACTACTTATGAGACACTAAGTGATTTCCAAGAGCTTTCCAACGTTATTCAAATGTTTTCTCTTATTTTTGGTTGCTTCTTTTCTCCTTCCACAGAATAACTTTCTGCCACCTGCCGTTCCAGAGTAAATGGCTGTACATTGGTACAGAACGAGGGAACATCCACATTGTGAACGTGGAGTCCTTCATGCTCTCAGGCTACGTCATCATGTGGAACAAAGCCATTGAACTGTGAGTAGCCTCGGCTTCTCTTTTTACCCTCTAAAAATTCCCTACCACTAATTTTCTCCTTGGTCTTTTATTTTCCACACATTTGAACATACTTCGCTGGTTTTGTTTAGAAAGATGGGTCTCATATTTAATACTTGTCAAGTATTTGGCGAAATTCACAAGTGTGGACATTCCATCTTAAAAAATATTTTTCTACTTAAAAATGGGACAGTGATAAAATATTTTGATTTGCTCTTTTTACACTTATGGGTGATTCTTTAACTATTGGCCTTGCAAACTTGAAAGTAAAAATGTAATAAAATATAAATTCTCACAATGTAATAGGTTAGCATAACTAGTGTAGCTTGAAGATTCATAAGAGAACACACTGATTTTTTTTAAGACAAATTTGTGGTTTTTAACAGATTTCCCAACTCGGCTGGCACAAATGTAATTTCCATCACATTTGAATATTTGTCATTTATTCTAAAATACTATGATACACATAACGTTTTTTCACTGGAAGAACAATTTCATATATAGTTGTAACTGTTTATATAATATACACTTAACATGAAAACAAAACAAAGTATGAAATATGAGCTTAACATAAACTTGATTACATTACTTTTAACACTTTTAAAGTAAATCTTCAATATGACAACTTGATTTTGCACTATTTCATAGAAGTTCTCCAAATATCCTCATTGGAACATATCTCATCCACTCCTCCTTTCAGGTGACTGCATAGATATATTTCGTTAGACCTCTGGGTTAGGTAGGCTATTCCAAAAACATTATTTTCACTAGTTTTTTTTTTTTTTTTTTCTGCCTATATATATTTTTTATATAGAATTCAGGGTTTCATTTTTTTCTCTAAACTTCCTTTGGAAACACCTGCAAATTACGGTCGCAAGGAAAAGGATGTATCTTTTTTTTTATATCTCATAAGAAAATCTACAAGGATACCTAAACATTTTCTGGTTCATTAAAGGTATAAAAAGTATTGAACATATTATATTTGAAACCAGAGATTTATGTACACTTGAAAAAAAAAATGATACATGTCCAACTGGACGATGACCCCAAGGCATAGAGCCAAACTTGGTACAAAGTTGTAACAAATTGTAACAAAGTATACGGCCGTTTCTCAGTTCACAAACACGCGAGTATGGACTCATGTTCTCGCTGAGTATGTTCTTGACAAGAACACAGGAAAGTATAGGCTTGTGGAGAACAGGAGCATGCAGCATAAATATGGGTCAATTGGAACAGAAGCATACTCGTGACATCACCACACACTCTGCTCATCTGGAGCTGCATTTCTCCTCCTGTTATTAATAGTCTCTAGATATGCTATGATGAGAGAGGGCTACTGCACACAGGCTAACATTAGCCCTTGCTGCGGTTAGCCTCGGAGGTCTGCTGGTTGGAGTGGTCTTCTCAACATCGGAATTTTTTTTTTATTACGCACTAAATGAGTAAATGGGCCATATAGTGATGCTATATTTCTTAAAAGTATTATGTTCCTAACTCAAATAATCTTAAAACAAACTTTTATAGAACAATAGCAACAGAAAAGAAAAGTTTTAACTTAATACTCTGAGCTCTGTGAGCGCTCAACTGGAAGTTGCTTCTGCCGCAGTGCATGCTGGGACAGCGGTCAAACTCAAGAATGGACAAGTCTGCCCTGATGCATGCTTGATAAAGAGGGAGGAGCGAGAACAACATCCAGGGACTTTGTCCGTTCTCTGTCTTGTGTTCTTATAGGGCTGAGGCTGATGACGTTCCACGAGCACATGAGAAAGGGGAGTGGTGCCTAGTGATGAGGGTATTGCGCTTGGAATCCAGAGGTTCTGAGTTCAAGCCCCACTCCAATGGGCTGCCACTCTGGGTCCCTGAGCAAAAAACCCTTAACCCCACACTGCTCCCCATGTGGATAGGTTAAATGCAGGGAGTTCATTTCGTCGATCTAAATGCTAATGAAAATATACTGTAGTTTATCTATACTTAACCATACCTAAGAATGGACAGAACTTAAAATACATGAGGCCACCTTTGGGCCACATACTTTGTGTAATGATTCTGCCCATTTTGGATGTTTTGGTTCTGTTTGAGTTTCTTTTTGAGTTTTCAGTTACACTTTCATTTATGTCATTCTTTGTTTTCTTAGTAATTGCATTCTTTTCCATTTTGTGTCATTGTAGTTGTTTTCTAGTTACATTTAAGCAATGTTTTGTTTTTTGTGTTGCTCTCTGTTGCCCCTTTTTGCGAGTCTTTTTTGCCCTAGCTTCTAGTTGTTTCTATCCACACCTGTTCCCTGTTAGCTGATTAGCCAAGTCCTTGTTCTGTCTCCAATATATATACTCCTCCTGTACAGTTCCTCAGTGCAGGTTTTCCTTCATTGCTTTGATCCTCATGTGTGTTTCTCCCTGGCATCTCATGGTTTTGATTTCTTGTTTTTTGTTCCTAGGTTTGTGTTTCTGTTGCCCTCTACACCTCATTAAATCTGCAAAATCTAATTTCTGCATTTTGGTCCTCAATTAACTCCCACCAAACCTGACACTTTGCCAGTTCCCAGTATTGACAAAAATGTATGGAATACTCTGACATTCAAGTAATTAATAAACAATATATAAAAAAAGGTATCATTCGTTTTTCGGGCATTTAACAAATACGCAGACATCGTTTTGTTTATCCTAATGGACCTAAGACAGGAAAGGTTAATTCAAGTTTATTCACATAAACTTTGTCCCTAGTGTCAATAACAACAATGTTAATCAAGACAAATGGAGAAATCAAACTACTGTCAAGAAAATTATGGTATGCATGATGATCTGGAATGGTACAGGGACCTGAAAGGAATTTCTGAGTGGTAAAACTGGTTAAAACAAAGATAGCTTACCATAAAACGAACACCTCTTTGCAAGATATGCAGTACTAATGGAAGTCTTAACGGACATATTCATGGAATTGAGTGAGCAGTGAGCATCTTTGGAGCTCTAATCCTAACGGAAAGACCATTAGTTCATATTAAATCAGCAACAGTAATACAATAAAAAAAAAGAGTCAAAACAATTTAAGAGTTGTCCAAGAGCCAAGAAGTATGTCTCACCATAAAGACCATAAGAAATGTATTTATTAGCAATGGCCTCTATTTGCTCTGCAAGACTCTTCCCTCTCTCTTTCAACCAATGGAAAATATATTTAAAGAAAAAAAGATCAGAGTTCGTAAGAATGGTTCTCAAAATATTAGACTTATGCTATGTTCAGACTGCAAGCGCTGGAAGCAGCAAAAAGCTTCTGCGACTTCATTTTTGATGCATGTTCTCATTAAGGTCAGACACGCCTCAAGAGCATCTTTGGCATTCCTGAAGTGTGTCCAGTAAATTGTTTCTGGTTGCGTCTGATGCTTCTTCTGCTAATGTGTTCAATGGCAGAGAACAGCTTTGCTATATTTGGTGTTATAAGGGGGTATAAAGGAAGTTTCAATATGTTTTTGAGTGAGAAAGTCCACCTGAAAACGTAATCTGTGCAGTCAGTTCACCAAGATTACGATCCTGCTTTCAAATATTATTTCGCTGTTGGAGCCGCTCTGGCCCGGTTGGCTGGAAGGCGTTTTTCATGTACTTAATCCAAACTGCAGGCACCAGGATAATAGAAGCAAACATATTTTGCTGGCAGGTTTTGACATTGTAAGTTAATTTAGGCATTAATGAACTGTTTGAGGGTAGTGATCATAGCGATCTGAATTAGCAGCGTTGTTTCCGTCTCCACCAGCTCCCAGTTTAGCTTCTTTGATTGGTTCATGTGGCGTGTCGAGCAGCAAAAGTAAAATTTTTCCAACCCCAGCAGCTGCTGCTTTTGCAATGTGTCACATGCGTCAGAAGCTCATGCAGCGCTTCTCCTGCTGCTCGAAATGTGCTGCAGGACCTTTTCATTCGCATCAACCTTAGACTTTGCAGGTAAACTAGCTACTTCTGCTACTTCTAATGTGTATGGTCTGAATGTAGCAATAAAGATAGTCTGTGTTAAGGAACTTAGCAATGTGTTTGACTGGTTTAATGAAGAAGACATATTGAATTTGTCCTTCACAAATAAGTCTTTATATGTACCGGTATGTAAACATGTGTAGTCTTGCCTCTAGCACTGAGATTCTTTAGTTACTTTATTTTAGGGGTATTTAGGTTACTATATCCTTTTTACTCTGGATACATGTTCACTGTAAGGAGAAAAGCTTTTTAAGTTAAGATATAGTTATGTAGTTTTAGTAATGAAATAGGAAATAAGTCTTTCATATAAAAGAACAGTGTTGGATTCCAGGTAATAACTATGTAATCATGCCTTTTTAAATTATTCACTGGAGCATTTTGCATCACACGTTCCCCCCATAACCCCTTTCTAGCATGTGAACACATAGGCATGTTTGCGTATGTGTGTAGTTAGCAGGAAAAGATGAGGAGGAGAGAGTGGGAGGAACAGATGTCTGCTGAGATCAGTGTATGGTACACGCCGACGTCTCGTCGACAGGTCTGCGGTACAGAAAATGCAAGAGTTGAGTGGTGAGGGAAAAGGTGTGGTAGGATTATTACAGAGGGAAGAGAAACTGAAAGGATAAGATGGGGCTTTTGCCTGGGGAAAATGACATGCACAAAAGCAGAGTGATGGAGGAGAGGGATGTAATTGTGATATAGGTTAAAAGCAGGCAACGCAGGGCAGACCTGATGAAGGAAGTTGTGTAGATAAGATAGAGCAGCAAGGGAAAAGGTTTCCAATTAAAGAGAAAAGCACAGAAGGTTAGAAATTATAATGATGAGATGGAATGAAGATATTAATGATGGAGCAGTAGATGCCAAAGGGCCTCCAGAGGGAGGAGCGTTAACTTTGACCTTTCTTGATGGGGCTCTTTTCCTCTGTTCCATTACCTCCACAGTTCCACTTTATCTTTCTTGACTGTTAAAGCTTCACCTTTGAATATATATAGCACTGATGGCTAGACTCACTTGGAAAGGCCCACAGTT